TTTCTGGGGTTTTGTTTAGCTTCTTATTTGCAACATAGTATATAGTTGCTTAGAGTTGCAGCTGAGAGGCCGGCAAGTGAGGCGGGGAACGTTGGAGTCTGCAGCAAGCAAGCCTCCCTGCTCGCTTCAGTGCCTGGCTGCTGGCTGCCATCTTGGCTGACAGTTAATTTGCATATACTCACTGATTAGCCAATGAAAAGGGTAGCGGTCGTACGCCAATTACCATGTTTCTCTTTTATTAGTGTAGATAACCATTAAATGAGATAGTGCAATGTTGAAAACTCTGCCTATGTGAAATGATTTTAATACATAATTATATAAAACTAGAGGCCAGGTGCACAAATTCGTGCACCAGCAGGGTCCCTCGGCCTGGCCTGCGGGATCAGGCAAAAATTGGCTCTCCGACATCCCCCAAGGGATCCTGGATTGTGAGAGGTGCAGGCCAGGCCGAGGGACCCCACCAGTGCATGATCGGGGCCGGAAAGGGACACAGGAGGTTGGCCAGCCAAGGAGGGACCATGGAGGGCTCCAGGCCATGTCCATCCCATCTCGCTCAGTCCCAATTGGTTGGACCCCAGCAGCAAGCTAACCTACCGGTTGGAGCGTCTGCCCCCTGGTGGTCATGCAAATCGACCGAATGGCAGAAGACCGGTCACTATGAGGCACATTGACCACCAGGGAGCAGACACTCAATGCAGGAGCTGCCCCCTGGTGGTCAGTGCATGTCATAGCGACTGGTCGACCAGTTGACTGTCTGTCCCCTGGTGGTCAGTGCATGTCATAGCGAGCAGCTGAGCATCCTTAGCATATCATTAGCATACTAGAGGCCCAGTGCACGAAATTGGTGCACTCGGGGGTGGGGGGTGGGGGGGCGTCCCTCAGCCTGGCCTGCGCTGTCTCGCAGTCCGGGAGCACTTGGGGGATATCAGTTGGACATCCTTAGCGCTGCCACAGAGATGGGAGAGGCTCCCGCCACTGCGGCTGCACTCGTGAGCCAAGCTTCTGACTGAGCAGCACTCCCCCCTATGGGAGCGCACTGACCACCAGAGGCAGCAGCTGTGTTGAGCATCTGTTCCCTGGTGGTCAGTGCATGTCATAGCAAGCGGTTGAGCGGCCTTAGCATATCATTAGCATACTATGCTTTGATTGGTTGAACAGCTGACAGGACAACCAGACACTTAGCATATTAGGCTTTTATTATATAGGACTAGAGGCCGGGTGCACGAAATTCGTGCACTGGGGTGGGGAGAGTCCCTTAGCCCAGCCTGTGCCCTCTTGCAGTCTGGGAGCCCTCGGGGGATGTCCAACTGATGGCTAAGCTGGCAGTCGGACATCCTTAGTACTGCCCCGGAGGTGGGAGAGGCTCCTACCACCACTGCTGCGCTCACCAGCCGTGAGCCCGGCTCAGGGCTACTGGCTGAGCAGCACTCCCCCTGTGGGAGTGCACTGACCACCAGGGGGCAGCTCCTGCATTGAGCGTATGGCCCCTACTGGTCAGTGCATGTCATAGCGACCAGTCGTTCCACCATTCAGTTGATTTGCATATTAGCCTTTTATTATAGAGCAGGGCCCAGGGGGTTGGGGCGCTGCCCCCTGTCACACACAGAGCAGGGCTAATCAGGGGGTTGGGGTGCTGCCCCCTGTCACTCACCACA